TCTGGTGAGGAGGCACTTCGGGGGCACTTCTCCTCTTGTTGAGTGTGAAGATGTTTTTAGCGGTTTCTCGTACGTCCAGTTTGTCGCCTTGGAACACACCCCATTTTGTTTGGGGTTTGGGTGCTGCAGGGTTGTTGGGGTCTTGAGGGGCGGTTGAAGTATCTTGCTGCAGGAAGTCCATGAATTCGTCGAAGTCGCATCGATTGTTGGGTCTACTACCAACACATGGAATCCATTCCTCCGTGCATGCTGGAGTTTTGAGGTTGGGTTTGAACTTGTTGCATCGCATGCCAATTGTGCGGTCTGCTTCGGCATTGAATCCGTCAATCTCGTAGGCCTTGAATAGCCAAATACGTTCGAGGCCAGACTGGTAACCTCCGGCCCAGACAGTGACCAAAAGGTGGGAAAAAGCGAGGGGAAGAAAAGCCCGCATGGTAAAGGTGAGCGCAAACTTTAGCTGACACCTGTAGACAGCTACGGTGTCGATAAGAGCCGAAGAAGAAAGAAGCGGAAGTATGTAGTGGGCGTTGAATTCGCAAAGAACCACGAGATGATGAAGAAAATGGGAATGAAGCATGCCCGTTTCATGGCACAGCAGTAGTCTTTAATAGACCTTGCAATCATGAGAATGAATAAGGTATAGAGAGGGGTGTCATCAGCAGGCCTGATCTAAGAGCACCGGCTAGAGATGCGAAGTCGCCATCGGGACACATACGACGTTGTTCTCTAATTCTCAGTCTTGTGTTCATGGTCTTCACCTCGACTGAGGTCTCTGCCGAACTGTTAGCTTCTTTTCATCCTCGGCTAGCAGAATATGATCCTCGAGGTACATGTAGAGGCACTGTCTGCCACGCATCTCTAGGGAGTCTCATCCTAGTTGAAATCAGGACATGGTAGTCAGTGGTAACCAGGGCATACCTTTATCTCACCCTTGCCTCTCAAACAAGGTGGATTGGCAGGGTTACCGACGGACCCGCACTGGAGTAATCCACTTATGGAGGACTCGATGCTACTTCTTTCACCACACATTTCACGGACCGCAATCTCCCAACGGACGGGACAAAATCAGTTGAGGCACGTAAGGCCAGTGTGCCCCTTGTGCCAGCAACCTTTTTAATGTTCCGAATTCGATTGAAAATTTTAACCGAGGAGTTCATGTTTCCGGGGCGCTGCACGACACTTGTAGAAGTAGGTACCCCTGGCACATCGACACTAATTTGTCGTATATGTACATGGGATGGAGGTATTATGGAGGTAGGGAATACTCCGAGATACCACCAGTACTTACCTCAACTTACAAGCTCGAAGTAGCTTCTTTGCCTCCACTGCCTGGATGTAGGTATTATGTAAAGGTACCAATCCACCTGAAATTTACAGAAGGAATAGGTACCTTCATATTCAAGGATATGGCCTCTGCAGTAGTCCAGGAGTTTGGACTCAAGAGTTGATTATTTGAGTCTCCCA